TCCTTTAGGCAGTGCACAGGAGAAGCTAAAGCAAAGGACTGATGTGTGAGCAGTGCCCCTCTACGGAGGGGCTGGAGGGCACTGCTTTCCTGCCACCCTCCTCCTCACACAAAGAGAAGGAAACACGAGGAGAGATGAAGCTTTCTTGGCAGGAGCAAGGAAAAAGTCACACTCACCTGGCCTTGCTGTCCTGAAGGTGGGAGCCTGTTTCTGGGTATGGTTCAGAGCGTGAAGAATCTGTGCACTTCCCTACAAGGCCACAGTGGAAAGAAAAGTTAATGAACTTGCTGCAGTTATCAAAGCTAGTGTGCAGCAGTTGCATTTTCAGGAAGTTGCTCAAGGCTGAGTTCTGCGAGTGCTTTTTGCACTGGTTTTCACATGGTGAGCTCTCCATGCTGTTTGACATCAGGGTCCACAAATGGCAGCGCGTGGCTCTGGGTTCCAGTGACAGCAGCCTCTGCCAGCACACAGAGAAGGGGAGGCCTGGGATCCCAGTGATGGCACAGTCTGCAGAACACCAGCTGGCTCGTTTCATCCTCTTCTGCTTGTCCTCTCCAGTCTTCTCCCTTCAGCTTCTTGAAAACTGCAGCTGCGTTTCAGTCATACAAATATGAATATGTGGAAATGCAGAAAGCATCAGACTCTATAGGCAGAACTGCTGAATACTACAGAGAGGAACAAACACAGCCACCCCAAACCAAGAATGAGCCAAGAGGGGAAAAGCCCAGCAAGTGACTGCTGACCAAGGGAGGTGCACTGCGTGGTGCAGCCTGCAGGTAAGCGTGCAACACGGAGCTTCTGTTCTCACTGGGGTTGTTCCTGTCAGTACACTGTCTCAGCAGATGCACAGTGTGAATGTCTTTATATGTACATATGAAAATTCAAAGCTTGTGCTCTTAAAGAACTACAAGCATTGCTTAGATGTAAAAGGAAGTGACAAAGTCCGAACAAAAGCTCCTTGCATAGTCCTCATACGCACCTAGAGTGAAGGATGAACTGAAACATGCTGCTTTTACCGCAGTGGAGAACTGATGAAGCACAAAATGAAGACTAATGTTTCAGAAAATCCGCATACAACTTCCTCACAGATACAGAAAGAACCCTTGCTTGGATTGCCTGCCACTTCCCAAGGGCTGCAGTCCTCCCTAGAATGGATGCTTGGAGCCAGAAGGCCGCTCACCCTCTGCCTCCTGAATTTCACACTTCCTTTCAGGCATCTTCCAAGTGAGGAAAACATTCATTTGTCTCACAGCGGGGCTCAGAACAAAATGCAGGAAAACCTATGAAAATGGTTGGGTTGAAGGATTCCATACCGATATTAGGTAGGCTGCTGTCAAGGGATTGCTCCTCAAACCTACAGCCTCTGCTCCCACTCCCAAAGTAACCCAGCGTCAGTGATTTTAGTCACTTCAGAAGGGGAGCTGGCAGCCCATGCATCTCCCCACCTGCATGGGGATGGGCCCCAAGCCCACCAGTCCTGCAGCAGAGCCTTCCTAATGGCCCCAGAGCTCAGCACCAAACAGCAGGTCTGTGCATCAACAGTGCCAGCAGCACAGAGGTTTGGTTGTGCATTGGCTTGGTGGAATTTAACAGCCTACAGGGTGATGTGGCTAATTGGCAACAGCTTCTGAATTCCTGCATAGCATCAAAACATTTGAGATTCAGGAAACAAAGAGGAGATCAGCAGTACCACGTACTGGTGGGGGCTGCTACAGCATGCAGAACGTCTCAGCACTCACCGATTTGGCTCTGAGCTCTTGTTCTGAAAACGGTGTCTGGCAATAATAACACAATCCTGAGGAAAGGGCTCCATGGGGAAGTCACTCACTCTCACAAGGGCCGTGTGATTTATACATGTTGTCACCGCCTGTGCCAGAAAATTGATGACCGATTACCACCTATTCATTTCAGAATCAGGTATCCAGCCCAAGCTAACCAGATTAGGCCACATGAAATTTCGTTTCTATTCATGGCACAACTGACTGTAACAGTTGGTTTAAGTCAATACAGGGAAGGAGCTTTCGTTCTGAATCCAGGAAGAACTAGAACATACTAAAGCAGCACGAATCAAATGTTTGTTATTTATCATTACTACTCGTTTATAACACAAACATCTGGATTCCATAGCTACAGCCTGATGGAACGATATTATTAGTGAGGAGAGCAAAATAATTATGTAAATGCCATAGAGCTTGTTAAACATTTGCAGAGTGCTGCAATCACTCACCCACACCCAGCTCTGGGAGCACAGCAATGCAGCTCCTTTTGCTGTTGGTTGGGCATCCGTTTTGAACCAGGGGCAGCTGCTCTCTCTGCACGAGGAGGCCAGCCCCTCCGTGGGACAGAGGCACAGGAGCGCTCTCAGCAGACGAAAGACAGCTTTTGAGATCGGCACAATCAATAAGAAATCAGTAAAATCGTGTGCAGGATAGAATTTCTAATGCCTAAGAAGCCACAGCCCACACCAAAGCTCCTGAATATCATGCAACCATAGATGGCTTGGAAGGACCATCAAGTTCCAGCCCCCTGCCAGCTGTTAGATGAAGCACCAGATCACATTGCCCAAGGCCCCATCCAGTCTGGCCTTAATCACCCCCAGGGACAAAGCATCCACAGCCTCTCTGGGCAGCCTCTTCCAGTGCCTCACCACTCTCACAGCAAAAAACTTTCCCCTCACATCTAACCTAAATCTCCCTTCCTTTTAATTTCAAACCATTCCCCTTATCCTATCACTACCCATCCATGTAAAGCATCAATTTCCTTTATGTTTATAAGCTCCCTTTAAACACTGGAAGGCTGCAATGAGGTCCCCCTGCAGCCTTCTCTTCTGCAGGCTGAACAGCCCTACCTCCCTCAGCCTTCACAGGAGGTGCTCCAGCCCTTGGATCATCTTCGTGGCCCTCCTCTGGACGCTATCCTCTGAATATACTCCAGATAGGACACAGACTGCTTGAGATTAATGAAGACTGCTAGTTTTATTAATATTAGGCTTATAGGTAGTTCTTAGAAAATATGAACATGTAGGTATGTGTATATCTCTTTCCCAAGCCACTTGCTTCTCAATGCAGCTACATTATGCAGGGCTTTGCTAGCAACCTCCTTGCCTGCAACCTCTGCCTGCTCTAACAGATACACAGCAATGCTCTATTAAATACCACTCCAATCATGACTATTTCACTGACTTCTCCTATAATCTGAAGGATATGAAATAATGATTACAGTAAAGCCCATGCCGCTTTACTGTTAGGGCTGTGATAGATGTTTTTGTGTCAGTGTGTGACCATGTCTCATCTTCCCCCTGCAGCAGAGCCCAAACCCACAGGCCTGGGTCAGCACAGAGTGCCTCCAGATGCAGAATGCCCAGAATTTTAAATAATCTGTGTGTAATTTATTTACACCCCTACTGTTATTGCTACTTACAGCAATACTTGCCATAAAGTGCTGAGATGATACACATAGTGCTCTGCTAAGCTCTGCTCACTCACAAAAAAAAAAAAAAAAGTTAATCTATAAGCATGCGCTTGCTGCTGGACATACATTTAATGGGGAACCTCCAACCTTTCTGCTCTTTGACTGAGAGCCTGTATAGCATGACGTGACCCACATGTGAATCATTAAGAAGGAAAAAAAACCTGTGCTGCCTGGAGGTCAATTAATGCAGAATGGGCGAGTGGAGGTGCAGTGCTGAGCTCCACTCTCTGGTGATGGCAACAGCCTCAGGGAACTGCATGGGGCTGTGTAAGGCAGGAAGGGGGGGAAAGAGGGTGGGAGGTCAGGGAAAGACTTTGCCCCAGAGGGCAGTGGGCACAGCTCCAGTGCTGTAGCTCAAGGACTGCTGGGATGCTGCTCTCAGACACAGGGTCTGATTTTTGGGTGCTCTGATTTTTTCAGGATGCTCTGTGGTTCAACGGTTGAAAAGAATCACTGCAATACAATGGGAAGTACAGCAGCACTAGAGGGGTAGCACAATCTGAGGTGGCAACAAATCAGAACTAAGCCCAAGGCAGCAGCCATAGATACAGAAACAAAAGAGAAAAATCTGCTTACCTTTAGAAGGCCTCAGGTAGGCAGGGATCTCCAGCAAGACACCCTCACCTCCACTGTCAGCCCTTAAATGAGGCCTGGGAAGGGGTGCATCCTGGCTCCACCCCTCTGCTCACTCAGTACACTGCATGCACCTGAGCTCCCCTGGGTTGGCCCTGCATTCCCACCAGGTGCTCAATCACTGCTTCAGGCTGTGACTGAGCATTTCTGCTACAATCAACAAACAGGATAGCAACAAATAGAACAACCAACCAATCCCCCCTTACCCCCCAAAATAACCCCAACCCTCTCAGTGGTTCCTCCTTAGTAACCAATTTCCATGCTCACTTTCATCCTCTCTCAGTGCTTTTTTGCCACTTTCCCCTCTTTGCACACTGAGGTGCCCTCCCTTGCTTGCTGCCCCTCCTTCCTTCTGGTGCTCCCAGGAGGAAGAGACATCATAAAAATGGCGTAGAAGGACTGGGTGTGAATGAGAGTGCTCTGCCCAATGCCAAAGGGTTGGGGTGGGCAGTGCTACAGAGGGGATGAAGCTGCGGTGCCACCGCCGCCATTTTGTGGCTGAGAGGCAGCATGGCTGTATGCAGCTGAGGGGGCAGTGGGTGGCACGTGGGGTTCTCTGGGAAGCACTGTGCCCGAGGCAGGTGGCAGCCAGCCCACGGTGGGCTCTGAGCTCCTGCCACAGGGCTGTGGGAAGAGCAGCCAACCCTCCCTGCTGGTGGGAAGAGAAATGGGTGCGATGCAACCGTTGCTGCAGCAGCACGCCGAGCGCACTGCGGCACGCAGCTCCGCGCCGTGATGGAGGTCAGCAAGGACGACACACACACCAAGGCTTGGATTTAGGGTTTATTTCATCTGCTAACATTCATTCTTCATCTAGACAAAAAAACAATCAGATGACTAATTTTTTTAGAATCCAATCTTTTTTTTTTTTTTTTTTTTTGAAAAAAAGGAAAAAAAAAAAACAAACTTGAACACTTTTGTTGTTGATGTTGTTTTGTAAGATGCTTTAAATAAATAGATAAAGCTGTAGGTGTTACGTGGTTCGAGTTGAACTGCTGCATTCTATCTTATTTTTAAGCTCCTGATCGAGGAGAAAAAAAAGCACTGAAATAAAGAGCAAAGCATACAGACTGAGCGCAGTGGGATGGCTCCACCACTGCAGATCTGTCTGATGGAAGATTGAGGTGGGAAGGGGCACGTTTCACTTTTTGTTTTACCCTCAGTCACACGATTCCCTAAAGATAAAAACTGAGTTCCTTGGGAGGTAAAGCACACAACAAAGAGGGGAAGGGGGAAAAAAAAGAGCTCCTGCATTGCCTTTCCCTTCCCTGTGCAGATCACGAAGCACAGAGGAAAGAGGAGACGATGCAGGGAAAGCCTGTGACAAAACCACAAGTATGAAGAATCAGACAGCAGAAGGAACCAGTGGAAAGGCTGGCGGCTGTTGCAGGTTTGCCTGGAAGACTGTGCATAAACAGAGGGATTTCACATTGAGAGAGTGTGGGGGTTTCTGTCTTTTCCTTAAGAAAAAAAAGATGGAAAGGGGCAATAAGTTAAATCATATTTTGGTATGTACAAAACTAATCATGCTCAGTAAGCCGTATGAGTATAAAATTCTTCATTACTGTACAACTCTCTCAATCCAGTCTGCATAACAGGAAAATGGGCAAGAGGAGCTGCGGGGCTTGGAGGAATAAGATACTCATTTGCAAATCGTGCTTGTTTTTCAGCTTGCATGGCTCAAAACGAGAGAAATCCATCACCTGCAGCTGGGACAACACGGGCCTTATACCCATGTGCTCATCAGGACTGTGTTAATCTTGGCAGAACAGTGGATGGACAACACAAGCAGGCAGCTCAGCCCGTGCAGACACAAACCCTGCTGCTGTGCTGCTCACTGCCTGCTGCTGGGCCGGCCTGGTCCCTGCAACACTGAATCCTGAGCTCACTTCTGAGCTGAACGTGATCTGCTACTTCCAGCAGAGTAGTCTGCCTTGCAAATTGCTGTAGTGCTGTTCTTGTGATACTCAAAATTCCACAGGCTAGGAAGAGATCTGAGTAGCTCAATGCTTGAATGAGAAGCTAGGGAAGCTGGTAACCCTGGGATATAAACACAGGCCAGGCCCTGCTCTGCTCTGCACTCCCCCATCACTGCCTGCAGTGCAGTCTGCACAGTGGTATCATGAGCTCAGTGGCACTCACTCCCCAGCAGGGTGTCCCTGTGGTCCCTCTGCCTCTCTCCTGCCTCAGCCCTGCACTGCCCCTCCTGCTCCCGTAGAGCAGTCTTGGAAAGGGGGACAGGTGTCTGCTGTTTCCACTGCCACCCCCATTTTGTAGCCATGGAAGGGTGAAGGGTGCAAAACCACCCACCTGGAGTGTTTTCCATTTACTCAAAGATGTTGGGGATGAAAGGAGAAACTGAAGCAAGGCAGAAGTTTGCACCGATCCCGTGCAAGGAGGTCTTCATTTCAGTGACTCTGAGCTCAGTGACAGCCTTGGTCTGCAGCCCGTGCAATCTGCATCAGTCCTCAAGTGTGACTTGGGGTGGTGCAGGGAGGCACCCACCTGGGAATTGTGGGTGGGAGGCCAGCTTCTTCAGTACAACTAGCTGGGCTGTGACAAGTGAGCAACACGAGGTTTCTTCTGCAACAACGCCCACCAAGCAGCGAAGTGTGCATCGTTCAGGTGTCTAAAAGCAAAAAAACCTCTTCCTTATTAGTGCTGCAGCATGTGTTGTCCTTCCCACCTTCCCAAAGCAGGAATGGAGTCTGCTGGCAAATCCTTTGTGTCTTCACTCGTTTGCAAGCATGCAGGGCAGTGGAAGGCAGCAGAGCCTTACCCACTGTCTCACTGTACAAAACGCTCCCTCACACAAATACTGCTGGCTGGACAAGCCCTCAGGAAGCCCTCACACACCCCCAGCTCCTGCAAACGTTCCGCTCGGGGTGCTCCTGGAACGTGCACCACGGGGATAGATGTGTATCCAAGTGTCTCAGGACCAGGAGAAATCTGAACTGGAGGGGAACCAGCTTGCTGACCCCTGCAGGAGGCAGGTCACAGGGCATGGCTGGTCCAAGAGAAACACTTTACGTAGTGCAGAAAGTGTCGTCGTGTCACGGGAAAAACATTTTGGGAGGAAGGGGCACACACTGAATGAGGATGTATACTACCTGGCCACTACGTCAGGCCCATCAAGCCATTGCTCTCTGATCACTTTAAAACTATACACACAATTTTCATGTTATTGTAGCATCAAATCATCAGCCCTAAAAATAAAATTGTACCACTTTGAACTGTAGTACATAGAAATCACAAAAACTACATTCACATTATGTTAAAATAAGTTCCCTTAAACCCACGAAAGGAAGAAAATAGTGCCAGGTGCACCCTGCAGCCTATGCTGTGGCACACAGCACTTAAACAAATCCAAGTGTGGCAGACAGCCTTAAGCAGACTGGCATGGCAGCCGGGGCGGGGGATGGCTTTTGGGTCATTCTCTCCATTTCTATACTCAGACTTAAAATCTGTTTTGCAGTGTGCTATACATCTGCTACTTTGGGATGCCTCTTTGCAAAGGCGAAATGTTCTAATCCCAGTGCACAGGTGGAGAAGCAGAGGAATTGCCAGGTGCAGGACTGGAACCTGCAAACTCCCGCCTCAGTGCTGAGCTGAGGTCGGCCCTCCTTTTGTGGGTTGAAGTGAAACCGTTAATGAGACTCTGTAGTTTCATTCCTTTTGCTTGTTACTGTAATATATTACAAAGCAAACACTGGAACAAGCTCTACCAACACGCTCCCGGGGTCAGAGGCTGCCTCCCACAGAACGCTGAAGACAGAACCATTAAAATCCAGCTGGCTGCTCAGAGCCCATAATACAGGAACAACTCAGGCAAAATGAACCCGGTTACGGTACCGGTCCCGATCATCTGCAGTCCCATTGACCATCACCTTTTGGCAGACAAGAGCAGAATCTGGCCATCAGTGCAGATCGATTGGAGCGCTCGCAGCACCGGGGCTGTGTGGCTTTGCTGCCGTACCCATTTGTGCACGATGGATCCCTAATGCAGGGCAGATCACAACAAAAAGCCTCCGGGCAGAGCTGCAAACTGTGCATATGACATGGCTGCTTTTTATACCTAGCGTGCTGGTTCTGTTGGGTAAACAGCCTGTAAAATGGCATTTTGAAAACATAAATGTTTTCCTTAGTTACAGCAACACATGAGAGTGCTGGGAACTAACAAACACAGCTCCTCCCAGTCTCGGAAGTCAGATTTGTAAATACTTTCTGCCCCCAAGCCAACAACGGAACACTGCTTTATTTTGCCTCTCACATTTCAGCCAGGAGCATGTGCTGATGGCCAATACACATCTCCAGAAGGGTGGGCCATTTCGTGAGAAACCTGGAATACAGTGACTCCACCAGCACGCAGGTACCAGCCAAGCACACAGTGACAGTGCTTTAAGATGAGCATGTGAGCACTCTGCAGCACCAGGATGCAGACCTGACCAGCACCCATCTTAAACCGACAGGCAATACGTCCTTCGATGTCAGTGGATTTGGGGTTGGTCTGTAACAGGGCTGTCTGACCCCAGCGTGCTGCTTGTAGGTTCCATTCCCAATTTGTTAGTCATCTTCCCTCTTCTGGAGAAGAACATCTCCAGCAGCCAGGTGTAAACCTCCTTTGCAAAACACAGTGTGAATTTGAGACGGCTGGGAACAGTGTGCTCTGCGTGTGGGGCACAGAGAGAACCAAAGCACAAAAGGAGCAGCAAGTTCTGTGGGTTCGTGTGATGGGAGAGACTGCAAAAATGACACGCTGAGTGTATCAGGTCTCTGCCTCTCCTTGTGATTTTAATGCCATAATCGATCTGCAGTTACCACGGCCTTTGAAAATCAAATCCTGTTCCATCTGAGTCATATTTTACCCCAGACAATAGCTGGTTCAGGTCTTACCAGTTGAGTAATAACGGGATGAGACATGAAGCAGGCAGAAATGGCATCATCTCCATGCTTCCAGACAAACAAAGAAGTGCTTGCAACAGCAAGAAAATAAGCCATACTTCAATTTGTTGAGTGGGAAGAGGAATTAGGGAGGCCATTGTTCTCTGACTGAAAAGTCAGTAAGCTGAACCTGGCTGGACTGTCACCACATCAGAGGATTAAACTTACATGAGTCCCTGAAAACCAGAATTAAAAGAGAGAGTTCTGCTTTGAAAGTGGTCTGAGACTAAAAAAAACATCATCCACGATCCTCCTTTCCAGTTTTTTGAACACAGCTTGTTCATTTAAAGCAAGAGCTGCAGCGCAGGCACTCTGCCAAAAGACAATGTGCACTATCTCATCATTAATTCAGGCCACAGTCAGAAATTTTTACAGCTCTGGAAGAGAGCCCCATCCTGTTCCCACTTAAATCAGTTCTAGTGACTTTGCTGGAAGCAGGATGACGCCCATTATCTCTTGATAAAAGCAAGTAAAAATAGCTTTAAAAAACACAGATACGGGTACATCCGTATGCTTGTTGCAGTTAAGTATTTCACATAGCATGAGCAAAACAAAATCACCCCCTCATCTTGTTGCCATAACCCATTATTTGCAGGATCTTCCAGGAACTTGTCCTGCAGATTTACGAGGGAGTACTGCTATTCCACTTGTTCTCCCTGTCTCAGCATGTAGGACAGGGTTTTCATGTGCTGTTAACACATTATACAGATGAAGGAATGAGTGTGTAGGGTGACATTATGACACGGGGCTGCATCTTTGAGCCTATGCAGAATTTGGTTGGCTTTTACATTGGTTTGGGACCTGCCTGTGAAATCTGGGAGCTCTGAGCAGGAGTTCCCTATTCATTTTATGGTGAAGATGTGTGATACAAGTGCAGCGTATCAAAACCACTGTGCTACATACGTATCTTAGGCCACAGCCAATTTGCTTTCATGTTTCTTATCCTCCCATGCTTTGCTTCTTTCGTACTCACGGTGCTCTACTTCCTGGCAGGGCTGCCAGCTGAAACGAAGCAACTGCCCTTGTGCTCAGCTCACAGCCTGCCAGCACAGCGCACGCTCAGCTCAGACACCGTTATCAGTTACTTACAAGCAATGCAATCCTCATCCCACCTCTAAAAACACCCACAAAAGAACACCTCCATTTCCTTGTTTGTTTTTTTTTTTAATTAAGAATTCTGATATCATTATGCTCGGGGAAAAACAGATTTTAAAAAATCCTGCTTCTGCCATTCGTGTTTGAATTATGAGGATAAGAAACATTCTTTTGCATCTGGCCTTAAGAGGGGGTAACTGCATCTGTGCATTTTTTACCTCTGCATTATAATGTTGACCCTTTTTTTATTTTTATGCATTTCTTTATTTTTTTTTAAGAATCTCACTGGTCTTGTAAGAAACAGTAAAAAGACCCTATGGTTAAGGAAGCAATCTACCTTCTGTTTTACAGACTTGCTTTTAAATAAAATATTCTTCTGCCGTTTTTGTGATTTTACTTCCACGATCTTTTAAATGGAAACCCTAGAGTATCATTCATTCGTATAAAAGTCTGCCTAGGCTACCACTTCTCTATAATATGGCTCATGTAGTCCTCAGTGGGCAAGCGTCCTTGCTCTTCGGTCTCTTCCTTGGGAAGCGCTTCATTGGACCGGTGAAGAAGCCTCTCTTCCCGATTCTTTATCCTCTGCTCCATCCTCTCTAGCTGCCGTTTGTACTGGTAGCGCTGCTGGAAGAGGTCCTTTGCATAGTCGTAGAGCTGCATGTCCAGGTCATTGAGCTCCTCGATCCTGCGGATGGTGTCATTGTCCACCTCCACCCCTCCTGCCCTGGTGCTGTTGTACTGCATAAAGGGCCGGATGAATTTCAGGTTAAAAGTTCTCTCAAACAGGTACTGAGTCTTTCTCTGGAATTCTGTCAGGCCGAAGAAGGCCATGTCTTTGAGGTTCTTTTTTGCGCTCTCCAGCAGGATCTGTGCTCGCTTGTTCTCCGGGATGAAAGACATGTTGTAGCAGCCCACCAGGCTCAAGTCGGCCAACATCCTCACCTGGCGGTTGTTGGCCAAGTTATAGGGGCAATCCATGAACTCCTGCAGCGTGCAGCCTGACCAGTCCGTGCCCTCGTAGCACGATGGCAGCTCTTCGGGGGTCGGTGTCCTGCCATCACACATGTGCAAGGAGGTCTTCCAGGTGGCTCCTCGCTGGACGTGCCGCCATTCGCTGAGGTAACGAGACACGGGGTCTCTCAGCAGCGTGATGTAGTAAAATTTTCTACAAGAAGGAGAGAAAACAAAATAAATTCTCTGCCACTAACAGGAAATATGGTTGAAAATACGAGATCTAGAGCAGACATCAAAAAGGACAGAGTAAATCAGCATCATGGCATCCACCGCAGTGTACCCTTGGACGATTTTCTTCCTGCAGTCTCCCACACAAAGTGCTCAGTGCAACATCAGACCCACCTCGCCCACCATTTCAGTCATGCCAAGCAGGAACTCTTCCACCGGTGCAACCCTTTCTAGAAACAGACCGCAATGTCAGAACAGATCACCAGGATTCAACTCATACACCAACCAGAGAGCAGCCGTAACTTCAGAAGCCTCCTGGCCTTTCCTACCAGCGCGCAGGCTCTGAAGAAGCCAAGGCCTGCTCTGCAGGACATGCCCAGGAACCGCTCTGTTTAAGAGCTGGGCTATCACTTCCACTTCATGCAGCTGCTGACCTTGCTGCTGAGCTGAAAGCCAGGAGTCTGTGCTGCTTAGCAGGATAACGCCACAGGAACATAAGTGAAAAATAAAGGGAAACAGGAATGGGATATGCTTTGTGGAAAAAGAAGGCATGAGTTGACAGCCAGCAACAGTAGAAATAGTCTGTTCTCATTTCAGCTAAGCTGTTATCAGTTCAAACTTAAGACAAACCTGGATACATGAGGCTATCAAGGGCGTAAAGGGTGTAAAGCTAGGTGGAAACTCCTGTAGCTCTGTGCGTAATGAAGCCCTAGAGCTGAAAGCATGACAGCTACTGCCTGCAGAGAGAGCCCCCGGCTCTGGCTCACGTCAAGCCTGGCTAAAGTTATGGGACTGCTAACGATGGCAGTTTGCAATGGCCCTGTCCAGACAGAGGGAAATGGGTTGGCTTTTTTTCATTAAATGGCTTGGGACCGTAGTGTCCCAGAGTGTTTCTAGAACAAGGAAATGCCTTCTCTAGTTGCTGAAATTGGCAGGGAATTAAATCCACATGTGCTCCTGGTGCGTGGGGCTGTGTGACATGGCACACACAGGAACAGCTGGCTTTGGCAGGGTAATGCACACCTATGGGCTACTGGAAATGCTTTGCACTGGGGGCGGCAGCAGAGTTTTTTCCCATCTTTGTAAAGCTGCTATGGCTCACTGCTCTGCCAGGAAGGCTCGGGAGAGCTGAACGTGGTGGCTGCCATGAGGGCACTGCACAGTCGTATGAGAAACTCAAGATTTTTTTAAAAAATAGCCTTTGGCTAATATTAGCACACCCATGTTTTCCTAACACCTTCAGTGTTATTCTTCCTAGAAGCAACCCAAATTACTGCAATAAGAATAATGTAATTTAAAGAAAATACATCAATTGCCTGGGAAGTCTGATTTTAAGGAATGTTGGCTTTTCCAAGTTATTACTAATTTGCTGAAGAGCTGCCCTAAAGCAGTGCATCTTGGTCTTTCCAACAACAGCACGGGTGTCAGCTTGGGCTCCAGCTTCTCCTTTGTTTTCTGCTTTCATAACTAGGGCTGCTAAAAAAACTTGCTATTTTTTGAGCCTCCCTTCATAGCCAGGGTATCACGCTGTCTAGCAGTGCTGTGCAATACAATGTTTGGGTATGGGGAGAGGGGACATGGGGAGCAGAGTGCATAAGAGAAACTCTCCCTTTAACTTGACCTCATTTTCCTTCATTTACACTGCAGTCTGCAAGGATTCAGCAACCCAGCTACCCAGACTGTGAAGCAGACATTTATACAGACACTGCTAAAAGCTCAACAGATGGGGATAAAATATGACAGTGGAAGGAAAATGGAAGCAATGATGAATGCCAGATGTGCAAGTGACAGACACTGATGCTAAACACTACCAGCATTTTTTAAATTATGAACCATAGTGGGCTTTTTATTTACACCAGTGCAATCCAAAGGCTGCATCTTTTCCTCAAGCAGGTTGAAGGCAATTATCATTGTGTGGCTTACACAAACAGTCACGTTTCACCTCAGATCAGGGACCCACATGTGAGGCATCCAAAGGCACAAGAGGAACTAATTCCTGCCCAGACCTGCAGCTTAATACAAGTGTGGATAGAGGAAAAAAAAAGGACTGGTAGACAAGGGAAATATCAAATGATTCGCATGAAGTTGAAGGGTGGCATTGGCAGAACTGGCATTAAACTCACTGCTGTAACCCTTAGTCCAGTTTGCCATCTCCTCCCCTTTAAGAGTCTGTAAGTACATCAGCTTAACAAACATCATGCAAAGCTTTTAGGATCCACTGAAACTGAGACAGCTTCAGCAGGACACGGAGTGTAAAAATATGAATGCGCAAGAATTTTTTTCTTCACATCTGTACTATAAAAGCTATCACCTGAGTTGATGTGATGCACCAGTAGATGAGTTGCCACTGTGATCTCTAATATCCATCTCAGAGAGCAGAGAATGCAGTAAAACAGCTTACATACTGAATTTGATGTGCCCCTTTGCAGATCTGCTAGGTAGCCAGCTCCCCCCCTTCAAGCACTGTGCTGTCTAACAGAAACAAGATGCATCTTTGCCAGCTGGAGTATAGGCAGCAGAACCAGGCACCCTGAGGTTCTTTGAGAAGCTGTCCCAAAAGTGTATAAAATAATTTTTACAAGACTCCAAAAAACAAAGACTGCAATGCAAAAGAATAGTTTTAACTGCCCAAGTTGAGATGCACCGCTGACACACTGGGAGCTGTGCTCCCAAAGCTGTATTCAGCTTTCCATGTTACTGGTCTCAGAGGTGCAGGATCACACAGCTCTCAAGGAAGTGAAGAGCACATCTGTTAGAAGACCGGAGCATCAGGAACTACAGAGGTAGATAAGCTGCTTTGTTCTTAGATGAACGTCCAAGGAAGTATTCACCCAAGAAGTTCCTCAAGATAATTAGGTTTCCATTCTCAAACAGAAACCTGGGGATTGCATTTAAGTTCAGAGAAAAGTTAGATCTCGTCCACGAGCAGCACTGCTATCAATGCTGTGAGCCAGAAAGTCGAGAGAACTTTCTGCCAGCATGGTGGAGAACACAGGCAGCGCCACTTGACAGCACTGCCTTGAAATTTATGAGGAACCGCGCGACTAATAAGTTCTCTTTTGTCATCAGAGATAAAATGAGCTCATAAAATACGCAGAGCTGGGGGTGCCCTTCCTTTCAGCATGGTGCCCCAGACTGCTACTTAACTCCAGTGTTCCTAAGGGCTCATTGCAGAAGTGCAGTCTTCTCACAGCCCAGATGGCTCCACTCAGTGCTGCCTCATAAAAAAAACCCAACAGCCCAAGCTTGGTCGTGCCACACCAAGTCTCACTGGCCTTCCTGGAGTTAAAAACCTTGAGAAAGAAAATGGGCCTTGTAGTTAATAAGATATTTCCTTCTTCTTCTTCCCATGTGAAGTTGGGCAGGAAAGTACCACTACTCTTGCAGGCTCCCTTTCTATCCAGTAGGCTGTAATTGCCACAAGGGCAAGGAAAAGCTCAAGTCACATCTCTGTCTTTCCTTGCATTAGTCTCCTTGCTGCACCCAAAGTGAAAACCCACCCAAAGCTTTTGCATTCGCCACTTCAGTACTGCAACTCTGCTGTGCATGCAAGCTATGCAGCTTTGTCAGAAGAAAGAAGCACTAAAATATTTATTAAATAGAGCAAAATATAGTTGTGTTTTTGATAGACAAACCTGTCGTGGAACTGAAGTTTCGAAGAGAAAAAAAATCTATTATTAGAGAGCAGAAGCAGCCCTGTGGTTGCAGCACACAAATGCATTCAGGAAACTTGAGTTTAAGGAGCCCTTATGTCAAAGTTCCCCTGTGTGCCCCAGACAAAGCTCTCTCTCCATGCCTCCATTTCCCATGTGTGAAGGGCTGACAATGTTTCCTTTGTCTATTTTGGCACTTCAAAACATAACATCTCTTGGAGCGGGGACCCTCTCTTCAATGATTATGCAAAGCCCCCGCTTCAGCAGGGATTGAGGTCAGATGACAATGGTTAACTGAAGGCTATTTTCATGACACAGTGTCAGCAGCAGTGCCGCCCTACACATTTCCCACCCTGGACCTCTCATTCCCATCTCACAGCACAGCACAAAGCAGCCTCAGTTTTGCCAGCACTGTTTTTTTGAAGGGCCACGTTGCAAACACAGTCACTGAATAGATGTGCATGAAAAATAATGTGTTCTTGCAGATCCAAGGGAGCAGCTGAAGCCTTCCATGTATTTTGCCCTAATTCCTCAGCAAATGAGGGGGAAATGAAACCTTCCTTCCTCTAAAAAACACAACATTCCTTTGCTTATAACCAGTCAGCACACTTCTGATTGTGACAGATTCTAAGTATGATACTATTGTCTCTAGGCCCATTTCTATCAATTCTCTCCAACACTCCTATGTGATACCCCCTTCTTCCTTCCCACCGCTGGTCTCTGACATCTGCTAAGAGCTGTGCAGTTCCCCATTCCTTGCTGTGATTAAATTCTTCCACACAGCCAAAACATCTCATTTTTTTATTCCTACAGGTTCTGAGCTTTCCGCTGTTCCTCAAAGGAAGAGCAAAATCCTAACACGGCCTTCCTGTAGCTGCCTTCCATCAGATTAAGAGCGAAATAATGATAGTGCTTCCATTCCCATGCTGGTGGGGGAAGGGGAAGGAAGCTGCATAGGTCTGCTTCAACCATACAACCCCAATCTGTCAAAGCACTGTGCCCTCAGGCTATGCTTTAACAAAAAAAAGATATATTGTTCCATGTCCTTGCTCAACGAAGCGGATGGAACAGGGTGTCTGCCAGCTTGCAGGACCAAAAAACACTCCGTTTTGTTTTTAAAAAAGGAGCAATGTCCAACTTATGGTGGGTGGAAGGCATCTCTGCAAGATGCCTTCGTGCCACGTGCCAGTTGTCCCCTCACTAAGGCTGCTGGAGGAGGACACTAGTTAGCTCTCACCTCCAGACAGCATCTCCTAAAGAAGCACTCCCAGCCACGACCTGCGGCTCGAGAGTAACTTACTCAGTTCTACGGTCAGATTTCTGGTGTAAC